TGCACCTGCCATGAGCGTGAGAGGCAGTACCTAAGGGCAACTGAAAATGTGGCCCTCCACGTTAATTACATTTCTGGGTCCCTGCCAAGAGCTTTGCAGCTCTCTCTTCACGTTAAAAATAAAGGTATTATGCAGAAATCAATTAATTCCTTAAACACCATTTATATGGTGTGTTGCTTGAATGCGTTCAGAGATGAAATCTATTATTAAAATGCTTGTCTGAAGTTAGCTGAGTTACCTAAATGCTTGTGTAAGGTTTGTTCTGCAAAGTAATTGAATGCAAAAAAGTCGGAGCCAGCTCTTAAACAAATCGCCTTTCCGCGGCTCACAGCATCTGGTACCCATTTTTACTACATGACATCTGCTCAGTGTAAAAGAGCTGGCGTCAGAATGTCTGGTCATAGAAAAAAAATCCCAAATGTAATCAGAAGCAAAGGGACTCTAAGCCGAAGGTTTTATCACATAGTCTCATGCAACATAAATATTTCATTAATTATGGCTAAACAAATGCCACTTTTATTTTCCCAACTCCCAGATATTATCACATCATCGAAGTGATATTCAAATGCCAGGAAAGGCGGTTGATGACAGGGAGGACTCAACAATGCAGGGCCACGGGAAAGCCAGCGTGGAGGGGATGTGGCAGCCTCCGAGCAAGGGGTGGGTAGGTGGTTGGAGGCAGCGGGGCGCCCCGTCCACTAGGCTCTCTTGGAACCTGGCGGGGACCACGCGTGACACAGTCTTCCAGGTGCCGCAGGAGGCGTTTGTTCTTCTCAGCAAGAACATCTGCCCCTACACATCCACCTGATGCAGAGTTAATGATTAATATCTGGACGAATGCACTCTGGACACGGAATCTCAGACCGGCTAGGACTCCGGGATAGGAGATTTACTAATTTTTACTCTGCCATGGACGCTTATATCTGAATAGAAATATGTGTTGGGTGGGGAGGAAGGTGGAGAAGCAATTCCAAACCAACTAACATTCCCTCCAATCCGCCTTTTCCTCTCCATAATTTTCAACTATTTACCCCAGCGGGGGAGGCCAAGTTTTAAAAAATAAAAATAATTTTAACCACCAGGAGCATTTACATATGCTGTTATTCAAAGCAAAATAATGCAAAACGTCTATATAATAACACAGCCTCTCTGGGGAGGGAGTTAACTGTTTTCCACTTTAATTTGCCAGATGGGAAAGCTCAGGTGAAGAGAGAATCAGGGGTAATGGAGGAGGCATTGCTAGTGGTGAGCTGAGATTGCTCCCCAGTTGTAGCCGTAAATTAACACTGGGTGATTTGGTCTGAGTGTGTGAGCTTGGGGAATTAACTTTTACCTCCTTGCGTGGGGGGGGCTCACGGCTTTCTAACCTGCGTCTCTGTATTACAAGATTAGAAATTATCGCTGTGAAGAGTCTAACACAGTGCTTGGTTCACTGAAGATGCTTAAACAGGTGGTGTCAGCATCAGCGGCAGCGCCTGCTCCAGCATTATCACTGATCCGCGTGAACAACACCGCGGTATTAATAACCTACCTGATTCACCCCCATTTAATGGAAAAGCTAGAATAACCTAAGGATGAAACTTTTTCTAACTCTCAAAAACAAACTTAATATTCCCATTGAATTTCATTTTGAAGTTGAGGAGAAATGTTTCCAAATATAATGCATTTCTTCACCTTCTGGCAAAGCTAAAGCTCTGCAGGTGCCTCTGAATCTCTTCCCCTTTACCCTCTTCATCACAGAACCATTTGCAGAGTTTAAAAAAACTTGGCAGCGTTGTTTGACTCTGGCTATAATAGAGTGGCTGATTCCGGGATTGATCTCCCACCACCAAGCCCTAAAAGTCAGGACAAAATATATGAAGCAGCTGTTTGCAGGCATTGGACAATGGGAAGTGCAGAACTGTGATAAAGGTGGGAACAGAAGCAAAGGAGGTAAGCCCTACGATCGCAATAGCTTCCTCTGCCCAGAGGCACTTTCTTCCAGGTCACAGTGCTGGTGGGAAGAACCTTAGCAGAGCATAGGTGATTCATCGGGTGGAAAGACAGAGATCAGACTGTGAGAGCGCTGGGCATCTGGAGTGTGAGGGAGGGAGAGTCCTGGAGAGGAGGGAGCTATGCAGAAAAAACTTCAGAAACAAGCATAGAGGGCCCCTTCAGTCTGTTGCTTAACAGTAAACTATAGATGCACAGAGAGAAACTACTTGAGGCTGGGCAAAAAGCTGCTGCGGAGTTACAGGCTAAATAATACATAAAGCTCTTGCAGGACTTGGAAATGTTCACGCCCCCGCCCCCCCGCCAGGGTAGAACAAACACAGGGGGCATTAGTAGAGGCCAAGATGAGTGCCACCTTAGTAATAGGGACTCATTTACTCAGTAAACGAACCCCAGAGTAAAGGTTATTACAGACTCACCTGAATATGCTTAAAAACAAGCCTTGGAAGAAATAAACTGATCTGCAAGTACTTGACTGCCTTTCCATACACTCTTTACTGCCTACTTAATATTCTTTAAATAAAGAAACAAAACCTAGACACTCCATGTAATGCAGTAGTCACAAAATCTCCAGCCTAAACATAACCCTAACCCTAACCCATCCTCATGCTCAGAGGGCGTGGTGCACAACTCTACAGGGACAGAGGCCCTTGGGAGCCTTCCTGACTTCACCCTCTGCAACTCTCCATCAGGCTGTTCACCTGTAGCCTTTATTATATACTTTATAATAAACTGGTGGGTGTGTTTTTTTCAGTTCTGCGCCATTCCAGCAAATTATTGAACCAAAGAAGGGGATTGTGGGAACCATTCTTTATAGCCGGTTGGTCAGAAATACAGGTGACAACCTGTAAGGAACAGAAGATTTGAGCAAACACTACTAATACATTTGTAGAACAACACCCCTCAAGAACCAGAGAATGCATATTTTTCTTTTCTAGAACCCATGAAACATTTACTAAGTTGGTGCTATACCAAGCCATAAAGTATCAATGAAGTTCAAAGGACTGAAATCATACATAGTACGTATTCTGACAACAGTAAGATTAGGCTAGAAATCAATAATAGAGAATAACACTAGAAAATTTCAAGATGAGATGACAAGATGGGAAAGCTCAGGAGAAGCAATACTTTGCTAACAACTTATAGATCAAAGAAGAACTAAAAATAAATTTAAACTGATGATTAAAAATGGCATAACAAAATCACTAGGATGCAGCTAATGCAGGATTAGAGGCAAATTTAGAGCTTTAAATATACACATTATGCAAAAGGAAAGTTAAGAATTAATGCTCTGAGTTCTGTTTCAAGATGCTAGAAAAAGGACCACCAACTGAGTCTAAAGAAACTAAAAGGAAAACATAATCAAGAAGAGATTATGAAAGGCAATAAAGACAAAGCAGAAATAAAATAGAAAATTAACAAAGCAAAAAATTGGTTCTTTAAAAAGAGAAATAAAATTGATAACCTCCTAAGAAGCATGGCTAAGAAAAAAGAGAAAGAAAACATAAATTACCAATATTTGAAATAAAAAAGTCCTACAGTAAACTATTATATAAACTATTTTGTGACAATAAATTTGAAAATTTAGATAAAATGGACAAACTTATTGAAAAACATGATTTACCAAAATTGACATAAGAAGAAAGACAATCTGAATAATTATATCTATTAAAGAAACTGAATCTGTAACTAGAAACCACCCTCCAAAAAATTCTAGGCTAGATGACTTCATTTATGTCCAAATGTTTAAAAAAGAAATAATACCAATGTTAAAAAAGAAAGAAAAACTCTTCCAGAGAATAGAGAAAATGGAACACTTCGCAACTTTTGTTATCCAGGTAGCATGAGTTTGATAACAGAACTTGACAAGGATATTGCAAGAAGGGAAAATTTCAGACTGATCTCGCTCATGAACATCTGTGCAAAACTATAAAAACAAATTAGCAAATCTGATACAGTGATACATAAAAAGATTATAAATTATGACCAAGTTGGTTTTACCCCAAGAACTCATTAATGATTTAACATTTCCAAATCTATATAAGAATGCAATCAATATAATTCAGCACATCACTGATTAAAGTAAAATAATATGATTATCTCAATAGAGGCAGGAAAAGCGTTTGATTAAATTTATCATTCTTCATAATGAAAGCTCATAGTAAGCTAGGTTAAAGTGAAACGTAA